AGGGAGAGGCTGATGGGGGGACGCAGCAATACATAAACCCGAGTCCCGGATCTGCCACTTACTAGTTGTGTGGCTATAATAGGACATTTCCCCCTTTCTGAATCCCAATTTTTCTCCTCCAAAAAGTCACATAATAGTACTAATACAAGATGGGGCAAAGTAGGTTTACAGTTGTCCGTATGGAAAACAGTACAATAATTATAAATAATAATACAAGGATAAACTCAGTGTTTTACACACAACTATAAACCTATTTTTGCCCCACCCTGTATGGTAATAATAATAAACTTACCATGAAGGTAGCTTTGAAGACTAAATGAAACAGCATACATAAAAGGGCTTTCTAAATTGAAAATAACTGTAACAAGCTGTGATCCTAATAAAGAAAGCAGTGCACCTGTCCTAGAAGGAGCTCTTTCGCTTAACCAGGAGAATGCGGGTTGCTACAAAGTCAGCAGTCACAGCCTCAGGAAATCTGAGGGTCTCTGTTTCCGTGGTGTATCAAGTTTATTGTTTTGTGGATATTGTACCAACCTCGCATCCCCCGAATAAATCCCACTTGATCACGGCCTCTGATCATTTAATGTGTTGCGGAAATCTGAGCGTCTCTGAACCAGAGACTCAGAAATCTGTCGTCAGGAGCCACCTTCCCCACCCACATGCGGAAGTTTCCACACTCCTAGTGAGTCTCCCGAGGTGGGGGCCTTTGGAGGAGGGAACACGGGAGCCAGGAATTGTACGGCCTTTGGGCTGGACAGATTGAGTGCTGAGGCATGAACGGGCATAATAATATTAAGAAATCATCTGAAAGCTCATCTACTTTCTGGAAGTGTGTGAGATGGTTTCTGATTAAGAAAGTATGGTTACAATAAGGGAAACAATACAAGAATGAAACAAACGAGAGGGAACAGAAACATTTACTGAGTCACCCAGGTAGGTATTTTCACATGACCTTGGTCATCCCAACGACTTGAGAGAACAAAGGTTTTATTTTTATTTGTAGCTGAAATATTGGCTGAGTGGGTTTGGGAAAATTGTTAAGATCCCACGGCATTTTGTAAACATAAAAACCCAGATTTAATGCTACAGGATAAACCATATCAGAAATGAAGGCGGAGGAAAATGCAAGCAGCTAAGCACAACGCTTTGCTTTGAGCTTCCTAGCAACCAAGCCAAAGATAGAAAAAAGAAGGCTTACGTAGTTCTTACTGGCGATAACAATAATAATAATAATAATAATACACCCACCAGTTTATCAGAGTCCCACGCTTTTTTCATGATCCTTTGTCTCAAAGAAATTTCTTGCAGGAGTTTTTATACAACATATACTAGGTAGCAGAAGGGACACTATCTACTCTGACTCTTTATATTAGGAAGGCAGGAATGTTTTCCAAATGACACCACTTAAAGAGATCCTTCATGAGAAACAGGCGAGGGCAAAACACAGCCATGGCTCCAGAAGGGCATGCTCAGGAGGCTGCAGGCATGGTCGAGGCCCCTGCGAACCCCTCTCTGCCCTCCGCCTTTGAGCAGAGCTCCACCGCCAGCTGCCGTGCTAAGCCCGGGCTGTAGGAGGTGCAGGAGTGGTCATATGAGGGAGACATCCCAGAGATATCTAGAATTCAAAGCACTTACTTTGAGTGATATATCCACAAGAAAGAGCCTTCTGAGCTAAAAGCAAACGGGAAAGAAAAACATATCATGTTACTTTTAATTCTGAGAAAAGCTATTTTGCCACCATTACCATTGAAGCCCTGGGCTGAGTTGAGAGCCTGGTTTTAGCTACTCCTAGGTTTCCACATTCCTTTGAGATATAATCAATGACCTCAGGAGACGGGGAAATTCCATAGAAGTCACTTCAGTATTACCCAGAACAAGGAGCTCTCTGGAGACTCAAGTCTTAGTAAAAAAGATGACAGCTCGTGGCTTCAATGGGGAAGAGAGGCTCACAGATGGGTTCCCTCCTGCCCCCTCCAGTCACACCACGGCCCAGCCATTCCTCACCCAGGATTTACCTTCCCCCAGAAAACAAAACAAGGACTGCAGAGCCTAATGCCACGGCCAGCTCAGAGCTTCAGAGACACTGTCCCTCCCTCACCTAGAAACCTGGACTAATACCTTCCTCACAGGGCTATTGTAAGAGCTGGAGGGAATGCACAGCACAGCTCCTGACTTACGCAAATACCCAGTAACTAGTGGCTGCTATCATCATAATCGCCATCACCATCATTATTCTTTTACTATAACTTTTAAAGTTTCCTCCAGCTCTAAAATTCTAAGATTTTTTTTCATCCAGCCTCAAGTCAAACACTGTCTTGGATGACATTCTTTCAGATGCTCTGCTGGCAACAGTTCTATTTACCAATCGGTCGATGTGTTCGACTTAGCTGTTTTAAAACTCCTTTTAGCCCAGTGCCACCCACCTGACTAAGGATAGTGCCCCCAGCTCACCTGAAATCATCACATGGCCAGTTCACAAGGAGGCAAAGGATCTGCTGCCTTTTAAGCCCCTTGCAGGTATTCAAGTAGATTCCTCACGTTGAGGAATGATATGGCCACAGTCTGGGTGCCACATGGCCCTGAAGAGCCGCCAGAACCTGCCCTGGCTACCGAGCAAAGACTGTGCCCAGCGCTGCAAAATGACCCTCTTTATGGGAGGCCAGTGCCAATATGCACATTTGTGCCTTTGGCTCCCATATTTTAATTTTGTGCACCACCCAAAATATGGAAGCACAACTCTGGCTGCAATTCAAAACACCAAGGTTATCCAATCAAGCATTCACAGTTTAAGGTCATCCACACAAGCATCCTAACTCAGGGCAGGACCCCCAAAGGGCACTTGTTCTGTTGGATTCTTGCAGCTGCTAGAGCTCTTCCTGGTACCTGCCCTCTGGAGCCGGGGGTGGTGGCGATGGTGACGGTGACAGTGACGGTGAACATGGCAGCTAGCATCTCGAGCGCTTATTAAGTTCCAGACGTTGTAGCTGCTTTACACACAACACCTTATGTAATCCTCCCAACAGTCCTATGAGCATGTACTGTTACTATCCCCATTTTCACAGATAGGGAAAATGAGGACCAGAGTGGCTGGGTAAGTTGCCCAAGGTCACAAGAGCGGGTAAGAGGTGGCACAGGACCAGCTCCAGGCAGCCAGCTCCAGACTCAGCCCTGCAGCACCTAAGGGAGGCTTGGATACCTTCACCCAACTCTGATTCATCTTTTCTTTGTACTAAGTACCCCCAGTAGCCTCAATTTGAAAGACCTGGCTTGTAGACCCCTCTAACTTGTCACACTTCTCTTGTTTGTCTTTCTTTTTTAAAACATGTTTTTATCGATTTCAGAGAGAGGAAAGGAAAGGGAGAGAGAGAAACATCAATGATGAGAGAGTCATCAGTCGGCCGCCTCCTGCACGCCCCCGACTGGGGCCCGAGCCCGAAACCAGGGCCTGTGCCCTGACTGGAAATTGAACTGTCACCTCCGGTTTCATGGGTCAATGCTCCACCACTGAGTAACACCGTCTGGGCTTGTCTTGTTTTACTTAAAATGAGTTCTTCGGAATGAAACAGAATGACACTCGAGAAGCAGTTAGATCTATGCAGCACCCCAGCGGGGAAACAGCTCCCAAATTCTGGAGCAATTCTTCTATTGATGGCCCTCAAGGGGCCGTTCCTTTTTTAGTAGCCAAGAGGGTCCCGTTGACTCATCAAATCTTAGAAATTCAGAATAGGGAGACATTTGAACGTTAATCCAGGCCGTCAGTGTGAACTCGGGGGGCTACGAAGACACTTCACCATGAGAATATTAATGGTGCTGAGACAGCTCTCCCTGCCCAGAGCTGTATGGTCAACATTTTGGACGAGCTGCACCAGTGCCTTTGAAGTCAAAGGCATCGTGCATTTTTGTAGCTGCTTGTGAAGTCTTCTTTCTATCAGAAGCCTCTCCAGCTGGAACCTCTGAGGCATTGTAGTTTCCAAAAGCACAGAAGCAGCTTTGGGGTGAATGTACTCAGGAATGTTTAATTCATTTTGCTTACCAGCGTTAAAAAAGAAAAGTTTTAGCCAGGCACAAATGAATCACCGGTGACTCAAGTGTATTTCGCAGCAAAAGTCAACAACTTAAGTTGTTCCTTTAAACTCTGCAAATATTTCAGGATTGCAAAAATCAGGGTGGATTTGTCATGAAATTTGTGTCTGAAATGCTTACGGTAAATCCTATATCTGACCATATGAATAATTTTAAATTACATTTTGGGCTTAATAACACCTCATTATTTCTGGATCTAGCCTGCCCAGAACTGCAAAAGTACAAAAATCAAGACATTAGGAACATGGCAGGAAGGAAAGATAGTGAATTAGCCAGAAGGTACTTGGAGTTCTAAAGCTTTTAAAGACAGTTCAGGGCTCAGGGATGTGGGAAGGGTGGGATCCCTTCTTTATGGTTTAAGTTAAGTTGACCTTTAATTCAACCGGGTGACTTGGCTAATACTAGGAGACCAGAGTAACTTTCATCAACACCATCTCATCATGTTTCATAATTACCTGTTGATATACTCCCAAAACACAACAATTACAGTTGAGACAACCAGCATTGACAGAATCACTTTTCCTTTGACATTCATTATTTTCTCCTGGGAAAAGAAAAAAAAAAAAGAGGAGGGAAACAGACTCAATAAATCCAGAGCCAGATATGGTTTTTAAGAAATGCTTCTACCTATATCCTCTCTAAAAGGAAATGTTTATGAATATTTAACTAGAGCTAATGAATGTGCTCTACCTTAAATTGCATAGGGCTGCAATGGCAAATTAGGCCAGTTCGATGAATTGCCAGGCCTCCTGTGCTGGGAAGGATGCTAAGGCCACTTGGGGGCACAGAGGGAAAAGTGCCTGGACCATCATGAGGTGGTCCCATGGCCGCCAGCTGCCTGTACCCAGGTCACCCACCTCTCGGGTAAGTGACTGCAGGGGACCGTTCATTTCTTAGCTTTGCTTCCCTTGATATACTGACTACATGCCCCGTGCTCAGAGGGGGAACCCCTCAATCCTTGACCATCTAGGCTCACTCGCTCCCCACCCCCACCCAGCTTTCCCCCTCCACACCCACAGCAAGCAAACGATTGGTGCACAATAAGCACGCGAGTATTTCTTAATTGTGCAGGAAATTGTGGTTGAGGGGAAGGGAACAGCAGGCTGGGAAGCACCCTAATTCAGATGGGTGGGGAAGGCCTCCCTGGGCGGTGACTAAAGCTCCCAAGGAGTGTAGATGGGATGGAAAGGGGCTGAGAAGTGTGCCATGAGAAGGGGTGAGGATATTTCGGAATAGCATCTATGACCGGCTGAGAGGAGAAAAAGCTTCTTGTGTTTGAAAAAAGACAAATGCAAAAAGTCTGAACAAGAAAAAATAATGAAATTCTCTCGCCTGAGTAGCTGGAACAAGGGCAGGAGGGCAGGGCAGAAAAACCCTGGGAAGGTGCAGAAAGGGGGCAGAGGCCCACAAAAGCATCTAAAGCTGGGATGTCACCTGATCCGACTTCACTGAGAGGCCCCACTGGGTGCTGGGGAGTGCTGGGCGTGGGGAATGAATGTGGGGACAAGGGCAGACATGGGGAAGCGAGCTGTCAGTTTATTCCAATGGCCAAAAGGGGGGGTGGCCTGTGCTGGAAAGGAGGTAGAGGAGAGAAGTCAATTAAGTCCTCTACTTTGGAGAGAGTATTGACAGGATTTGGCCGGTAACAGAAAAGCCAGTGCTGAACTCAAGGTCACAGCTCAACCAGCTTTCAGAGGGGACTGTGGTCGGTGGTATTCCACAGGCACAAGGATGGGCCTGTGGGGCCCCATGTAAACCTCAGTCCTGAGCTTCTTCCCTTTAAATGCTTCATGAGCTAGTTGGCACAGATGGCCCAGGACCCACGGCAAAGTCACAAAATGCACCTGCAGACAACTCAGCCTCCTTGCTGGAAAAAGCCACTTGCACTGCATGTTAGAAAAGTCCTGGGTTTGGGAGCAAACAGATTTGGATCGAGACTGCGGCCACCTCTCCATGCTGAGGTCTTCACTCCCAGAAAAGTGTGGGTAGTGATCAAACACACACTTTAGAATGAGGTGGGGAATGGAGTCCCGGCTCTGACGCACACAAAACTGGGCAACCCTGAGCACGCGGAAATCCCTCACCCATGTCTCCAAAAAGCTCTGAAAACCAAAAAGCCTTTTTTGTAAATTCAATTGGCATCATGGCCCTAACTGACAGGAGGCTATTTATAATCCTAATCCCACTTAGTGAGACTGTTTAAATGTTTCTTTGCATAAATATTGATGCATTTTATTATTTGGTGCTGCTGCACTGGGGGTGCTACATAATATATGATATATAATCTGCACCGGAAAAATTCAGGCCCTGGGGTTTCAGAAAAGGGATTGTGGGCCTGTAATGGATCACATTAAATTGGTTCCCTCGTCTACAAAATGGAGGTAAAAATGGCCATGACTGCAAGAGATAATGTCCATAAAATGCTTAGCATTGTGCCCAGGACCATATAAGTGTGCAAAAATGCTTGTTCTTATTACTGGTATCCATAAAACAGGCTTTTGGGAGGACCCAGTGAGATAGCACAGTGCCCGGTTTTTAGCAAGAGCTCGAAACATGTTTGATGGAGAGGAATAAGGGTTTTGGAGTAATAACATGTGAAACAGTGAAGTGCAGGGAGGTGCACATGAGGGACTATAAAGGTTTTTGCACCTGTTTCACGCTGCAGCCCCATGAAGAGCTCCTTGGAAGTGGGAGGAGATTTTCATTTCCTTTGATCAATGGGGGCCCTGCTACAACACCCTGCCTGCGTTGAGGAGGCCACCACACTGCTGGATGTGCGGCCCAGGCTTTATCAACCCCACCTGCTGAGAATCAAATGCAATTTGTCTCTCAGTGTAAGAAACGTAAAACAGAAAACATGCCAACTCTCACGGCAGAGAACACTGAGGCTGACGTCAGGGAGAGCCAAAATCAGACACATCTCCTCTCCATGCAAAATGTGTGTGATTTTTCATTTCAGAAACTAGCATCAGAAACAATTCGTGAAGCCCCTTTCTTTCTGGACATCTAGATTGCTTGCATTGGCCAATCATCACTCTTGTTGGAGACTTAGGATTGGAAGCTGCCCAAATGAGCCAATATCGCATCCTTTGGCAAAGCACTAGGAATGGGTGTAGGCATGCTTCCTGGGATCTGGAATGCACATCTCCGGAGAAGGAAGGGTTGGCAGGGTGGCCAATGAGTCTTTTAAAACATGTTTATATTTCTCTCTGGACAAAAATGAGGCATTTGGCAGCCAGCGTAGTCTAAAGTCTTTCTCGCATGTGTTTGTCTCTCAGAACTTTCAAAATTGTGTAATTCTAGAGATGGATGGTTGACTATGCCACCAACTAGGAAACATGGGGTTGCTTCTAAATTCCCCATTTAAGGGGTAGAGCACAGAATTAGGACTACTGAATACTGACACCCTGCCTCACATGGGAGTGTGTAACTGGGTCACCTGGCCCCCACCCCTCAGAGGACTTGGTGAACTCAGCCGCACCCAGTCCCACCAGGGCCCTCCCACCATCTCTCAGGTCCTCTCTTCCTAGAGCTCCCGGTTTCTCTCTGAATCCATCCTACCTTCCACGGGGCTGCTCCTGGGACACTCCCAGAACTCAGCCCCTGCACCGGGTCCTAGATGAAACCACAAGCATTCCTGCCCCCTGCCCCCTCCCCTCCTGGAACACATGCAGATTGTGCTGATAATCTGGGGGCATTTCTAAGGGCAGGGTCACCTTGTAAAGCCGGTTATTTCTCCACCTACCCAGCTTCATCCTTCCTTTTCCGCTTCTATTTCCCTGGAGAGTCAGTCAGATTTTTCCACGTGGCTCATAAATTAATTTTTCATTACCCAGCCCCCAACCTGTCCCACACAGAACACCACCCCCACCTCCACCCCGCCTCCCCACACCCCTTCAGCCTGGGCTAATTAGAGGTATTCCTTCCAAACAGAAATCCTCTCTGAAAGGAATGTGAGCGGACTGTGGGCCTTGTTTTCTCCATCTCCTGTCAGGGGAAAGGTGAATGTATCAGCTGAACAACAGCTCAGAAGCCCTGGAAAAGCCATTATCTCCGAAAGCCGGAATCTGCAGGGGGACAGCAGTGGCAGAGGAAACCAAACCTTCCTGCAGCTGAAGTACCTTCCCCTGCCTGTGGTCCTCCCCCTGCCTCTCCCAGTCACTCCTGGATGACTGAGATGGGGTCAAAGACTCTGAGTGACAAGTGTTGTGAACAGGGAAGGGGCCAGAAGGCACAGGAGAACTGGGCATTAAAGACCTTGGACAAAACTCCTATCTTCTGCCCTCCACCCTCCATTGTAGTGTTTAGATCCAGCATTTCAGGTAAAAATTAGGCCAGTGCTGACTCTTACATCAACAGTCCTAGAAGTAGGCCTTGGGCAAGTTCTCCGACTCCCTGAGCCTCTATTGACATATATAAAATGGAGCATGAAGCACTGTCCTCTGGTGGTCTTTAGAGTTCAAAAGGAGACCGTGTGTGTGAAGCACATTGTGCCAGGGGTCAGTAAATGCTCCGCAGACGGCAGTCATAATGATGACGACACTTTTTAATGTGTGGCTCTAAAGGCAGAGGCATGAGTCCCCCTGGACAGCACCACACATAAGCTCAAGAACAAGC